GAAGTTAAACTTCAGTAGGGACAGGCCAATTGGATGGGGGAACTGTTTTCTAACATGCAATATTGCTTTAAAAAAAAAAAAAAGCATTAAAAAAAAACCTAATTTGAAAATGTGGACTGGAGCTTTCCATTTCCTTAAGGAATGGGGTCTCAAGACCAAAAATAAGAAAAAGGTCAGGAGGATTTCAGGCAGAGATGTGGGAACAGCTTCCCCCTCAGAGGCTATGATGCTTCTGGAGAGTTGTGAAGATTATTTCTGTACATGCAAAAAGACATTTTGGGAAGAGAGTATGCAGTTTTTACACTCGAGGGATGTTAGGATGGCAACTGCCCAAATTTAGAGGCTGGCTGGGAGTCTTGGAAATCAGTTCCCATGCATCTGGACTGTACCATCTGGAGGGATGTTAGGATGGCAACTGCCCAAATTTAGAGGCTGGCTGGGAGTCTTGGAAATCAGTTCCCATGCATCTGGACTGTACCATCTGGAGACACTGCCAGTGTTTTCTCTTCCAATACGATACTGATGGTGCCCTGGGTTGCCAAAAATGGTATTTTAGTTCTACGAATGATGCTTTGGAATCTCTATCCGTCTGTCTATCCCTATCTGTGTCTATCTTTCTTTTTTCTCATCTGTCTATCAGCTATCTCTCTATCCCTATCTCTCTATGTCTATTTTTCTCTCTTTCTCTCTTTCAGCTATCTATGTGTCCTTATCTCTATGTCTCTCTCTCTGTCTTTCTTTCTTTCTTTCTTTCTTTCTTTCTTTCTTTCTTTCTTTCTTTCTTTCTTTCTTTCTTTCTTTCTTTCTTTCTTTCTCTCTCTCTCTCTCTCTCTCTCTCTCTCTCTCTCTCTCTCTCTCTCTCTCTTTCTTTCTTTCTTTCTTTCTTTCTTTCTTTCTTTCTTTCTTTCTCTTTCTATCATCTATCTATCTGTCCCTATCTCTTTAGGTCTGTGTCTGTATCTGTCTCTCTGTCTATCTATCTATCTATCTATCTATTTATCTATCTATCTATCTATCTATCTATCTCTATCTCTATGTCTCTCTCTTTCCCTCATCTATCAGCTATCTATCCATCCATCCATCCACCCACCCACCCACCCACCCATCCATCCATCCATCCATCCATCCATCCATCCATCCTTGTTAATAGTGCAAATCTAATGTAGCTGTGTGAATGTGAAGCTTTCTTTTTTTGTCTCAACGCATTAGCAGAAATGCCAACTGAATTCTATTTCCAGAAAAATGCTTTTGTGGTTGAGTAAATTAAGAAAAGAAAAAAAAGCTTTATTCCCCACCCCCTTTCTTTTTCAATTTCCTTCCTTTCTCTTAAAATCCCCGGAAGAAAAATGCCTTTCACTTATATCCGCAAATATCAGTTGCTACTGACAACCAAAAAAAATAAACTCTTGCCAACTACTACTGAAATTTATTGTATCCTCTCTCCCCTTTGCAACTGGGACGGTTTGTGTGGTTCTCTCCACTTGATGACCCTAGCTAAAGCAATAAGCAATGGTGCTTATTTAAATATTCCTTTCATATTTTCTTTTATCTTTGAAAAAAAAAAGTAACAACTCTGATGTGCCTGTGTGTGTATGTGTATGTGAGTGTATGTGTGTGTGTGTGTTTATTGATTCTCGCTATGCGTTTAAAAACTATTCTGGCCACTTTCATTGCCATTCATTACACATTGCTCAAATAACTAATGAGTCAATTAACTCCAGTTAGACTTTGCTAATTGGGTCGTGATCAGGTTTTCACAGCTTAAATTGTGAAAACTTCATCATGTCCCAATTAGCAAGGCCTATTCCATGAGCCCAAGCTAGGCTGGAAATCAATAGCTTAATTTCAGTATTCTAGTTGTGCTTGGAGAAAAGCAATATATTTTCCAAAACGTACCAGCCTTACCAAAGAAAGCGGTTTGCTCACTGGGCTTTCCTCATTCCTTCTTTTGCTATTCATCAGGAGAGAAATTAAGGCAGCTAAATGGCATTGTGTACCAAGAAGGTTTCCTGATGGTTTGTGGAGTGCCAAGATTGGCAGCAGCAAATCCACAGAAAACAAAAAAAAAACAAACAAATTACAGGCAGAATCTGAAAAGTAATCCTCAGCCTTTAATTATTCTCCAGTAATATAGGTAGTCCTTGACTTACAACGGATCACTTAGACACTGTTCTGTTACAATGAACTTCCCAGGGAACCGATTTTGGGGTGCTTGACAAATAAATGCTGGGATTTTTTGGTTTTTTTGGTGCAAAACCTGTCATAAATCACAGCCGTGTGAACATAAAATAGAATAACGGAGTTGGAAGGGACTTTGGAGGTCTTCTAGTCCATCCTATGCTCACCTAGGATGCTGCAAACCACCATAAATGTGGGCTGATTGCTCAACTTCTGCTATGCAGCCATATAACATACCAGTCGTCAGAAGTTCAGGTTGTAAGTACCCCTAGGAGAGCGGTTTTCTAACTTGGGGGGCCAGGCCCGGCGGGGGGAGAGGGTGCGTGAGTGGCAGGCACATGGCATGTGCACAGCTCCAATTGTGAGTAGAGTAGAATTCTATTTTTTGTGTGTGTGCAGTAGAGCACCAAGAGCTTCAGTCACAAGGCAAAGGAAGGGATGCCACATATTTGATTCATCATTCCCGTCTCACCTGTGCCATATGTGATCCCAGGAGAAGCAGTTGTTGCTGTTTGCAAACCCTCTTCTTTAAACACCAAGAATATTTGTCATCCAGACTTTAAACCACAACCTGAGTTGGTTTGGAGAGAAGGTGGTTGGTTGGGTGTCCCATTAACAGGACGATGTAAATGAAGATTCGTCTATGGAGATTCTCAGCGACATCCAGATCCTGGTTGTCCCAAAGGTGCTTTTCCCAAGAGGCAATTGGACCTTCTGGTTCTTCTTTGAAGACGTTTCTGAAGAAGAGCTGAAGAAGCTTCTTGGATGAGAAGCGAAACATCTTCAAAGAAAAACCAGAAAGTCCAGTTGTCTCTTGGAAAAATTTGCACCTTTGGGATAAAATAAAGATTCAGTCATCCAGGCCAAAAGTATCTTAAAAAGTAAAATCATGGTAACCGGACCAACATTTATGAAAACTGAGCAGTTTCGTTAACTCATCCAAGTTAACTTCTTCAGTCAAAATGAAAATAACAGGACAAACACAGACTTCTTCAGAGCTGAAGAAGCTTCTTGGATGAGAAGCGAAACGTCTTCAAAGAAAAACAAAGAGAGTCCAGTTGCCTTTCGGGAAAAGCACCTTTGGTGCAACCAAGACCTGGATGACTGAGAATCTCCACAGACATTATCCTATGACTAATGGAAATTTTATGCGGCATGAGATGAGATGAGATGCCCAAAGCCAGAGGTATGTAGTTTATACATTTCCTAGAGACATTTGCAGATAGCATATTTATCATATTGTTTTTCCTGTGCCCAAAATTTAATTCTTTTTTTTTTTTCAATAACTCCTGGCGGAAACGCAGGATCCATGTCCAACAATAAGGTTTCAAATGTCCCCAAGATACACAATGACATTAGCCAGAAGTCCTATTGTGTTGGGATGCTTGGAATAGAGCAGTTAAATCAGAAGCATCTCCTACCGCACAGCCCATGACGATACACGAGTATTTCACGTACAAAGGTCGCATTCAAAAGGAATTTCCTGGGTCAAAAGCTGGTTGTAACCTACAAATTCATTATTTGTAGGATATTTTCCCCCACTTTAGCAAGATGCTCACATTTGCATAAAACGTATGAAAAAAAAAATAACGCAGGAAACTAACTTGTGCAATCATAAGCTAGAACTAAAGAAACATAATTAAAAGGCTAATCAAATCAAACCAGAGAAAAATTACGTGAGTGTAAAAAAAAGGAGAAACTCAGTAAGAAAAGGACAAAGAAATCCTATTGAAACAAACAAGAGTGTAAGCTTTCCTATCGCTCTCCATTGCCAATTGGACATAAGCTATAGACACAAACACAACAGGTGAGCGCAAAGAACAAGGAGAAGGAAATTGCCTTCCTATCCATGTTGATGGCTTCCAATTTCCAGCTGTCTAGGGGATATGCTCAGTGCCAAATAATTGTTGGTAATCGTAGCTCAGTGACATTTTGGAAAGTCAAATTTCCCCCCCATTAAGTTTGCACATCCTATTCAGTGGCTCTCCCACTTAAAGCCTACTATAATGCTGTTTAACAAATAGATAACATTCCAAGAGCCTCTACGAATCATAGTTTTCCAGCCAAAATCAGTGGAAGGCAAAAGTAGACACTGTTGTTTGTCTTGTAAATTATTCTAGTTGTTGTGGTGAAAAAAGGAGGCGATAGGGAACTTTTTGAATGAGATGAAATTTTGTCTAAGAAAGTTGCTCCTAAGTTTTTTTTTCTTCCCCTTTTTAAAGTATGAACTGAATCGGCTGATTAAATTAAAATACAAGCTTTTAGACGCACTACGAACAGTTCCAAAACATTATTAACAAACATCCAGAGTAACAAATCTACTGTCTGCTCCTAACATACAGAGAACTTTTACTTTGCAACAGAAAACTGTACCGTCCACATTCTTCTTCCCTTCGGTTACTACCAAGGTGTATTTTGAAATTGCAATTGCAAACATATTATAATGTTCCAAAGTTCTTAATACACCCCCCCCCCCCCAAAAAAAAGTGGATAATGTTTAACATTTTGGCTGGTCTGTGCTCCGTGACTACCAGGATTGCATCACAGAACAAATAAAACTCATATGAATAATTCTCACTACCCACTACCCAGGCATGACTTCACAGAAAGCTTGCATTCGGATGCAAATCAAAACCAGCAGGATTTCCGGGGATATCCCCTGGCCACAAAAATGTATAAGACACACAGAGGGGGAAAAAGGCTTTCTCAGGATTCCCCCTCCTGTTATAACTCCCCACTTTTTTTTTGCAAAGGAAGAACGGACGCACGGAATTTCCACTGCAGTTAAGCTTGTAGTAACTCAGAAGTCGTTTTGTACTCACACTTCGGAAGTTTGTCAAGCTGCTTCTTGGGTCCTTTCCAAAGCAGGGGTGATGAACGCTCGATGCAAATCCTTGTCTGTCTGAAGTACCGACCGGGGCCTTTGGTGGTCAGAAGATTTCACGGGGCAGAATATTAGCTGCTCAGATTCTTTTTTTAGGCCGTGTCTCATGGTGGCTCCTCTTTTAGGGACCTCCCCCTTCCACGGGGCCGGGAGGGAGGTGTGTTTCCCAGCCTTGCCTGTGTGCAAATCTTCTTTCGGAGTGCAAACAAAAGATAAGGGAGTGCACAATCCTAGCTGCTCAACTTAATGACCAGAATTGAGCCCCAAACGTACGTTGCTGAGCGAGAAATCTGTTAAGCGAGTTTTGCCCCGTTTTACGACTTGTTCTCGCCCCCCCCCCCCCACTTGTTATGGGAATCAGCACAGCTCTCAAATTAGCAACACAGTTATTAAGTGAATCTGGTTTCCTCCGTTCCCTGCCAAAGGGGATGGTGTGACTCGGGGACACTCCAACCGTCATAAATGCAAAATCACGTAACCATGGGTATGCTACAACGATCGTAAGTGTGGGAAAATGGCCATAGGTCCACTTTTACAGTGCCGTCGTAACTTTGAACAGTCACTAAATGAACTTGTAAGTCGAGGGCTACCTATATAAGAAGAGTCTTTTTTATTATAAAAAATAAAAAAGTTTTTATTTTTTAATTATTTGAATACATCTTTGAGAGAACAGTGTGGTTCCAGATGTTTTACATTTCAAATCAGTCATATCCACAATCATAAATACAGCTTTCTGACATCACATCATTATCTATTACCACATTTTCTTCTTGATATTCTCATAAATTACTCCTTTCTTTATTTTAATCAATCTCTATCTTCCTTGATCATATATTCTTATGTTCAACATGTTTACAGTGTAATCTATTCACATCATTTCATTGATCATTCAAAATTTCATCTTAATTTTTATTATCCCCTATTAAATCCCCTTTTCAATATTACATTTGCCACTGTTCCATATGTTTTTATTTTCTATGTGCTCCCTTCTTTCTAACTCATTTTTACACAAATACATTTTCCATCTTATTTTCTTTTAGCCACTAATGTCAAACTTACGACCATATATCCTCACTACCTTATACAAAGGAATAACAAAATATATAATTCATTAGATTATATCCATAGTCACAATACAACTTTCCAATATCACATCATTATCTACTACCAAGTTGTCTTATAAGAAGAGTTTTGGCACATCAGTTTCACAGACCTGTTGTGTCTCGTTCCTGGGTGGGATATTGTTTGACGTTTTCAATACATTCTGCTTGAATTATTCAAATATTCTGCTTGATGAGTACCATCATAAACTAGGTACGGTTCAAGAATTTGCAAAGGACAAGGAAAGACTTTCTTTTCTTTGAAACAATCCCTTGGGAGGGGGAAAAAAAAAAAAAGATGAGAAAACGCTAAGACCTTCTGTGTCCCACAGTATCCTGAGCAGGAAGAAAGATTAATTCATCCTTTGCTGATGTAGGCAGCTTAGGAGTAAATGCCAGGTCATTGCTTCTCTGCAGCTTCCTTATCGACAGCATGAGCCTATTCATCCTAAATGTCGACTCCCAGACACCAGAGAAAGAACGACTT